ACTATTATTTATATTGATATCTAAGTCACAAGTTACATTCTTCAATTTCCAAAATCAAAAGTTTCATTCTTCAATTAGTATCTAAATCACAAATTACATCCATTTTCTATATTAAAAAAACCCCAATTTATATCATTCTAAAGAACACCAAAATTCCAAACACAAATGAGAAAAGTTTCAACAACAACATCATATGGTCCATTTTTTCTTTTAACAAGCTCACGTCCTTGTCAATCTTCATCATTAGGTTCTTGCTATCATCCACCCATGCAAAAGAAAAAACAATCTTGATTTGATGCTTTCTTGTATAATGGACAGGCCTGGCCCTGTGATAAGTCTACCAAGCCCGGGGTTGGGGCAACCCAGGGCCGGGGGGCAACCAATCGTTTCAGTTATGGTTGCCTCGATGGAGAGAAGTTTTTCCAAGTTGAAATTGATGAAAAGTTATCTTCACACTACCATATCACAGGAACAATTGAATGGATTGACAATGATATCAATTAAAAATGAATACTTGGAGAAATTTGAGTATGATGACTTAATTGAAGAATTCGCTTCAAAAAATTCAAGGAGAAGTAATTTTTTTGAATTAAATTGTAGCACAAATGTAATCTTTTCTTATATGAATATTGATTTTGCAAGAGAATATTATCAGTTTGAGCCCAATATAAAACGCTAAATGGTATTATTTGTATTCATTTTTATCGTTATTGTTCGTGCTAAATTTTTAATATAAGGGGCAACCAAAATTGGATTGGGTTAGGGTAACCCAAACCTCGGGGCCGACCCTGATAATGGACAACCATAGAACTGCAACCTTTTGTTCTCTCCTTATTAACAAGTTCAAATTCTACGTTATAAACCACAATAACACTTCATGTTATCCCTCACACTTGCAGCTTCATTATCTTCACTAGCATAAGAAGATGAGCCGTACCATAAACACATTTCTTTTTAGGAATTCTATTAGAGGAAATGAAGAAGAATAAGCTATAATAAAAATTTTAGGAGATTATATAAGCTTTGGGTTGGAACTTAACCGTTCGAAGTATTATTTGTGTGTTTGGGGATTTTACCGTTGAAGAAGGTGAAATTGGGCTGCGGATTGTGGGTATAAACCCACTAAGACCGTTAATTTTTAATTCGAAAGGGGATAATAGGAATTTAACATGATTTCGTTGGATTTAACAAAGTTTAACTCTAATTATTAAGCAGAGAGAGGTTTTGAAAATGAAAATGATGATTTGGGAAGGTTTTGACAATTACTGAGTTTGGAGAGAGAGTTTGGCAATTAACAAAGCTTACATGCAATTACCCCTATCATATATTTCTTTTACGTTTGTTTCTTCCAATAACTCGCGAATAATATAGCAAACATATCTACTGCTTAATTATTATAATAAAAAATCAAACATATGAAAAAACTTGGCATCGCCTGCACCAGAAAATTGAACTGGTTATAACAACCTTCGCATGACAAAAAACACAGTAAGATGCTTAAATATGATGGAAACTAGTGGGGGAGCAGTCATACAATATGCATGACCTTAATGTACAATGTTGCTCGTTTGGATTTGATTAGGATAAAATTTTGTTTTAGACCCTTTTAGGAATTTATTTTCAAAAATCAACCCTTTTTCAGATTTATTTGCAAATTTTGATCTAGTTTTAGCCAGATGGCTGAAATTGTGTTGAAATTTACAAATAAAGTTGAAAAACTTCATGGGATTTAAAATCTTATGAAGTTATGTCCTTAATTAATTAGCACTAACCAAAAAGCTTAGCTCAGGTAGTAAACTGCTACTAAACTTCACGGGATTTTAAATCCCGTGAGGTTTATATTAAGCAAATTTCATAAAATAAGTAGTTATGTGTAATGAGTTTAGTGCTTATAACATTAAACTTGTTACACATTTCATAAAATAAGTAGTTTATATTAAACAAATGTCATAATATAAGTAGCTACATATTGATCTATTCAATGCAACACTAATATCGAAAGAGAAAGAGTGCATAAGCAAGTACATCAAACTGTTAAATTGTGAGATTTCCTTTTATAGATAGAAGACCAACATCAATTGGGGATTAAATGGAGACAAATGTACACATTTCTTTCACTCAAATTATGAAAGCTAAAAGACATCATAACAGAGTGCTATCCTTATATTATGAGAGTGGTTCTAGGATCACTGACATGCTAGGTATTATCAATGAATTCATTGATTATTATGAGAATCTTTTGGGTACTGCGGTCTCTACTACAAATCCTGACCCAGATGTGATTTCAAATGGCCATATACTCTCTCCTAACCAAAGTAGCACTCTAATTCTTCTCGTCACAAGAGAGGAGATCAAACAAGCTATCTTCTCAATGTCAGATGAACAAGCTCCTGGACCAGATGGCTACAATGCATCTTTCTTTAAAGTTGCTTGGAATGTCATTTGTGAAGATCTCTACCTAGCTATAGAGGAATTCTTTTGCTCTGGAAAGCTACTTGGTACGTTCAATTCTGCATCTATTACTTTGGTACCAAAAATTCTCAATCCTAAATTAGCTTCAGATTTTCAACCAATATCATGTTGCAATTGTGTTTATAAAATAATTACAAAAATTATTGCAACCAGAATTCAAAAGGTTATAGGATACTTGATCAGTGATGCACATAGTGCTTTTGTCAAGGGTAGGCTTATCTCAAATAACATCTTATTAGCACATGAGCTCATCAAACATTATGGTAGGATACATATATCCCCAAGAGCTATTCTTAATATTGATTTGAGGAAAGCTTTTGACACCATAAACTAAAATTTTCTTAGATTCATGTTAGTAGGATTGGATTTTCCTAGCAAAATGATTATGTGGATTATGGAGTGTATTACCACCCTAAATATTACTTATCACTTAATAGATCTCTACATGGATATTTTCAAGGAGCTAGGGGCCAAAGGCAAGGAGATCCCCTTTCCCCTTACCTATTTGTGATTGGAATGAAGTATTTGTCAAGGAAGCTAAGCACACTCAAGAATGACAAAATATACAAATTTCACCCAAAATGTTCCAGCATGAAAAATGTCACACTTGTCTATGATGATGACTTGCTTCTGTTGGTAGAGCTAACATGAATTCAATAGCAAAATTATATAACTGCCTTCATGAGTTCAGTTAAGTATCAGGTTTGGAAGCTAATCCTAATAAATGTTCTATATACATGAGTGGTATTGATGATGACTTAAATAATTAGATTTGCACATATCTAAACTTTTCAGAGGGTGTTTTGCTAGTACGTTATTTGGGAATGCCATTAATCTCAAAGAGATTATCATGCTTAGATTGTACCCCACTGATCAACAAAAATATTGATCAATTCCAGAACTGGCAAAAGAAGAAAAATCTGTCATATACTGGGAGATTGCAACTGATCATATCAGATATACTTGGTGTTCAGATTTTCTAGACTAGTAACTATATATTGCCAATCAAAGTTCTAGAGAAAATTGATAGCCTGTGCTCTAATTTTCTTTGGGGTCATAAAATTCCTCTTGTTTCCTGGGCTACTATCTTTCAAGATAAAAAGCAAGAGGGTTTGGGGATATTTTCAGCTAAAATCTGAAACTATGCAGCTGCCATCAAACTCCTATCGATGATACACCTCAAAAAAGATCTACTTTGGATTAAATGGATTCATGCTAACTATCTGCGGGATTCAAGTATTTGGCAAGTTCAAGCAAAAGTGAATGACTCTTGGATGTGGAAACAACTACTCAGAGTCAGGGATGTTGTGATAGAAAAACTTGGTAGTGTTGACAACCTACAAACTATCATCACTAAATGCTATACTAATGGCAAAATCCAGATATCCTCTGTTTACAGTGTGTTGCTCCAATCAACAAACCAAGCTGCCTAGTCTAACACTATCCTAAACACTCATTTATTTTATGATTAGTAATTCATTCAAGACTTCTAACCCAAGACAGATTATGTAGCATGAGAATACTAGACACAAATCAATATGTCTTGTGTTCTAACCATCAATTGGAAACACATAAACACCTATTTTTTGAATGTCAGTATTCTGCTAATGTGTGGAACAAAGTGATGAGTTGGCTGGAATATGCTTGGAGGTCATGCAGCTGAGACCAAATATTAAACTAGTATAGCTTCAAGTTGAAAGGGATTGGATTTATGAAGAAATTGAAAAGAATGACCATATTAGTTACAGTTTATTTGCTATGGCAGGAAAGAAACTTGAGAACCTTCCAACACAAAGAACGAGTGCCTGATCTTTTGCTTCGTGCAGTGAAGGTCTCCATTTACTCCAAAATCTTGATGCAAAAATTCCTTTTCATATGCAAGAGAGACTAGAGAATTTGTAATGTGCGGCTTCTCTGTTAGTTGATTACCAGACTTTGCTCTAGTATTCTTGATGTACATAAACTCACGTTTGGAAAATGAATAAAATTAATTTCATTTACCAAAAAAACATTAGCTTATAAGATTTGGATGGGAAGCACATGGTTCGAATCCTAGCCTAGTAAAACTTTTTAAATGTTCAAGGAAAAAAATATGTTGGGATGAGATTCGAACTTAAGACCACTTGAATGATTCAAGTTTAGCTTTCTTTGAGCTAACTACTTAGCCAACTATGGGAACCATGTTACATTGAACTCCCGGGATTTAAAATTCCATTGAGTTAGGCTAATTCCACACTTCACGGGATTTAGAATCCCGTGAAGATTAATTAAGGACTAAACTACACAGGATTCTAAATCCCGTGAATTTTTTCAACTTTATTCGTAAATTTCGACCCAGTGGCTGAAACTAGGTCGAAATTTGCAAATAAATCTGAAAGGGGTAGATTTTTAGAAATAAATTCCTAAAAGGGTCTAAAACGAAAATTTGTCCATTTGATTATCATGCCCATTTAAATTCGGGTCGGGTCCAGTCCGAGCGAAAATTTTCAATCGGCTCCATACAACCCGGATCCGCTCCCCAAACCCCAAAAGTTACTGTCCAAAATCTCTGCTGCTTGCAGCCCAAAACCCTAGAAACTTTTTCCGTCAATTTATTACTCTTTTTCATTCAATTTGATCATCTCTGTCTTCATAAACTTAATTAGCGCATGATCTCTTTGTTTTGAGCTTAATCGTCAATGGCCGCCTCGGATTCGGAGCCTAAAGCGGTCTCTAATGAAGAAGAGAAGCCGACGGTAGAGCCAATAAGAATGCCGACGATGGAAGAGATCCGAGGTCAAGATATTTGGAATAATTGTGCCGTTAGAAGCGTCGTCAGTGGAGTCATGGGTAATTTTTATTTTCTCATAATTTTCCATTATAAATTTTTTATTTTTTTTATTTTGCGGAGAGATGAAAACAAATGAGAAGGCTTTTATGTAGGGAACCTGATTATTGGCAGTATATGTTGCTTGTTTGATGGTGGGCAAGTAAATTTAGGAACTTGAATTTTGCAGTTTTTCATGATTTGTTCATAAAGCTTTCTTTCAAGTCATTTCTTCCATGTTGATCCAATATTGCATCCATCCTACTTGGTCCTTTATATAGAAGAGGAGTCTCTGGCAGTCACAATCATTTTCCAATAACCATTTCCTATGTTTTTGTTACATTTTATAGCGGGATATATTAGCAAATAGCATTATTTTGCATTAGTAGCTATTGCAAGATAGTTCCTTCCTATGAGAAAGGGGTCTGATATAGTTCATTTCTTATAAAGATTGTGATTTTGTGATGCCAAATATGTCAAAATGAACTCTTTCATATAATTGCAAAGTGTATTTCAAAGTCGAAAAGCTTGCTCTTTGTCTTGAAGATGTTGTGAGATTTTCTTCTCATGAATTTATTTTGTTATTAGGCCACATGCAGCAAATGTGTCAATTAGTGAATTTTTCTGCCAAAATCAACTAATCAGTCCCAAAACACAAGTTACTATTATATTCAGCTTCCCTTCAGTTTATTGATTTTTTCATTGATAAATTCAAACTCAAATGTGAAAGCCTGTATTTTTCTTATAATCATACTTTTTTTTGGAAAGTTAAAGTAATGCTACACTATGTATTTTTCTTATAATCATACTTTTTTTTGGAAAGTTAAAGTAATGCTACACTATAGTAATACAAATGGGATAACCAAACATGTTCATTTCCATAGCTTGTATGCCAATAGTAATATAGGAGATTGGCGGTGGGTTTAGTCTATTGGAGATTGGCGGTGGGTTTAGTAGGAAAAAGTAAAAACTTGTAATCAAATTTACATGACAAAAAGTATAAGCCAAACGTACATCCCTCCACATTTACCTAACATCTCTAATTTAAAATTAGATGACTCTTTCCTGCACTTACTCAATGAGTTAATGCTAGCTAGTTTATCATCTAATAAATCTCTGATTCCTCTTGAAGTCTTGCAGTTCAAATTCAAATACTTGAGCGCACTTTCTTATTTAACCTTTTTCCCCCTCCTTATTTCTCACTCTCTCTTCAATATATACTAATTGCACTTTGATGTCAATTTTCTAGGAGGCGGGCTCGGTCTATTTATGGGCTTATTTCTCGGGGCTCTTGATAATCCTTTGATGCGAGAGGAAATGACCGCAAGGCAACAATTTATTTATACAGCAAAGCAGATGGGAAGTAGAAGCTGGAGTTCTGCGAAGGCATTTGCAATCATGGGCCTTACTTTCTCGGCTGCTGAATGCATTGTGGAGAAGGTAATCAAGCTTCAAGAAAGAACAAATCTTGCTGAAGTCTTTGAGTAGATAGACTTTGTTTCCATTTTACGGGTATCTGTTTACTTCAGGCACGTGCAAAACATGATATGACAAATACAGTTGTCGCTGGTTGTGTCACGGGAGGGGCTATGTCTGCAAGAGGTAAATTTTCTTTTGTATGCAATCTTCTGGTTTTCATTGTTAATAGCATTGCCTGTATGGACTGCTATAAATTTACATCCCCGTATCATTCACCTGTATCACAAAGCAACCAGACCTTACTCCATGTCTTTGTGGTTCATTTCCATGTGCTATGCATCATTTTCTAAATGCAATTACGATTTTAGGAAGCTCTATAACACAAGTTATAAATTCATCCCCTCAAGGTATACAGGAGTTGCTTACTGTAATGTCTATATACTAAGCCAACTCTTAGCCTGAGTACTTGATATCGCATGTTGATATCATTACTGTATTCTATCTGATAAATTGGCATTGCTATAGTTAAACTGCTTACAAGGCATCTGCTTGAAGAATCATTAATGGTCTTCAACGTTTGTGAATGAAAATCCACTATGGGACTCTTGAGCAGTCTCATACGCTAGCAAATTTGCTACTGCTTTTCACACAAAGGATGACTTCTTATGTATATTAGGCTGCGTTTGGCAGTCCTTGTCCCATTTAGGAAAAGTTATGGTCGGTAAAATCTAGACTATTATTTGCCCCTTTTTCCTTCGGCCTAAAAATAACCTTTAAACTGGTTAAAAACTAGAGCTCCCTTCCCATTGTTTTTTCCTAATTTGGTTTAGGATATAACTGCGCCAGTTAAATGACCCAAATGGCAGTATTTTGACAATGCTTCATGACTCGCATACGTTTCAACTCAGGATAGATGCTTATCCACTAAGGGCTTAGGTTGTGCTCTCATTACCTACTTATGTTCCTTCAACACATAATCTCCATGAGAGAAACTTCTTTGATATGCCTATGATTGCTCAAGGCATACCCGATGAGCTAGTTAGCTCGGTTTCCTTTCATTTGGGTTTTGTGAGTGGTTTCATCAACAAGTGTCTTCATCTGAAGTCGAAGACACTGCACTTAAAGCAACATCCTTAAGATAAATTTACCAACACTCGAATTTATACAATACTAGACATAATTTCTAAGCAGACGCCACTCACAAGAATGCCTATGAACAGGTTTTTAAGTGTAGTACACAGAAGGACTTCAATCTGGTTCTTATCTCTTTAGTATTCTGCAACTATGTGATCTAGTAAAACAGAATAACTTGTAAAAGTACAATACTGTATGTAGCCAATTGCTTAGTTTTCTAAATAAATCAGTGAATTTGTTATGTATAGAATGCTACATTATCACAAATCATTTACATAGTTCTTGCATTACCAGGTGGCCCCAAGGCTACTTGCATCGGGTGCGCTGGCTTCGCGACATTCTCCGTCCTTATTGAGAAGTTCTTAGATCGACATACATAACAAATCAATGTTCTTCGTCTCACATTGATTCCTCTACAATCAATAATGTTTTGTAATTCTCCCTATCATTAAGACAATCGATTTAATTAGCAACAAATTTTGTATTCAATAATATGTAACACTGTTGTATTCTTTACTGTTGAGAACAGATACTTGAACAGCGCAATATTTCTCTTTCTGGTATTATTCAATAACTGAAAAAACACAACACACTTTGCAACGCTATATGAGCAGAATCCAACAAAATAAACAAGAAGAAGTTGACAGAAAATCTTTGCATCGCTGAAGATTTAAGCCTTCTCAGTCCTGAACAATGTGAATCAGCAGCGATGCCTCTTCAGAATCCGGGGTCGGAGCAGCTACAATTATCAACAAGAAATAAATTTATGTGTCATTATTCAACAAAGTCAAAACGTATATATTATATGACATTTCGTATGGAGATTATGACAAAAAAAAAGGGAAAAATACTTCCAGCCCCCAAAAGCCAAGTGAACGTGCTTCCCACCCCTAAGACTTGGTCAATGTGTGTTTTACCCCTAAAAATAAAGATTTTGTTCTCTGAGCCCCCAAAACACAAAACCCAAGACATTAAAACATGTGAAGACCATAATACCCTTCTCTCTCTCTTTCTTTTTTTATTAAAATATGATGAGGATTATTTTATTATTTCTCTCTCTCTCTCTCTCTCTCTCTCTCTCTCTCTCTCTTTATCATGATGTACCAAGAGGATCTTTAGATAGGTAACCCTAACAATTAAACCCGTAACCTTAACAATTAAACCCGTAACCTTAACAATTAAACCCGTAATCTTAACAACAAATCTGTAACCTACACAACAAATCCACAACCTTAACAACAAACCCTTAATCTTAACAACCAACCCGTAACCTTAACAATCAACCCGTAACTTTAACAACCTCCCAATACAAACAACCAAAATAATAAAAAACGAAAATAATAAAATAATCCTCATCAATTATTTCAACTATCCTCTTGGTACATCATGATAAAGAGAGAGAGAAAAAATAATAATAAAATAATCATCATCATATTTTAATAAAAAAAGAAAGAGAGAGAGAGAGATGATTCATAACCTTAACAACAAACACTTAACCTTAACAACCAACCCGTAACCTTAACAATCAACCCGTAACTTTAACAACCTCCCAATACAAACAACCAAAATAATAAAAAAACAAAAATAATAAAATAATCCTCATAAATCATTTCAACTATCCTCTTGGTACATCATGATAAAGAGAGAGAGAAAACAAAAATAATAAAATAATCCCCATCATATTTTAATAAAAAAAGAAAGAGAGAGAGAGAGGATTCATAACCTTAACAACAAACCCTTAACCTTAACAACCAACCCGTAACCTTAACAATCAACCCGTAACTTTAACAACCTCCCAATACAAACAACCAAAATAATAAAAAACGAAAATAATAAAATAATCCTCATCAATCATTTCAACTATCCTCTTGGTACATCATGATAAAGAGAGAGAGAAAATAAAAATAATAAAATAATCCCCCATCATATTTTAATAAAAAAGAAAGAGAGAGAGAAGGGTATTATGGTCTTCACATGTTTTAATGTCTTGGGTTTTGTGTTTTGGGGGCTCAGAGAACAGATTCTTTATTTTTAGGGGTAAAACACCCATTGACCAAGTCCTGGGGGTGGGAAGCATGTTCATTTGGCTTTTGGGGGCTGGAAGCATTTTTCCCAAAAAAAAACCTGGAGTTGATACCGGAACAGAAACTGAAGGCAAGTTAGTTATCAATTGATCGACGACCCCACCGCGATTATTTTCTTCTTTGTTCTCCCCCTGTTTTGCTTCTTCAGTTACATTTGTGTTATCTCCATTGGATTCGAAACTTGGCAAGTGAGAAATGAGCTGGTTGATGAGCCCACCGCCATTGGACTCTGCAACAACCTCCTCCTCCTTAACTTCGACTTGAGCTTGGATTTCTTCATCATTTGATGAAGAGTTGGGTTTTGTCATGGAGATCATGCTCTGAGTTCTCTCCAAGCAATCATCCATTATTCTAAATTTTTGTTGGGCTAAAAAAATAAATTTCCTTTTTCTTTTTGGGAAGGGTTGAAGTGGGCAAGTAGAACTATGAGGATTTCGCTAGCTATAGCAAAAAGCAAGGTAAGTAGACAGATGTCTTTGTGTTGGATGAAGAAATATATAGAGTTTGTTCTGAGGGTGTACACGTATTTTTGTGATTTTGTCTCGTGGTCTTTGCTTTGGAGATTGGAGCCAACCAAGCTACAAGCACGTGAAGACTCCGGAATGGGTCGTATTCATAGCACGACGCAGGTCTTCGCATATCTGACATAAATAAATAACAGTAAAGAATTGCTTTTCAAATCGCGGCTCTTTTTGAATGTAAATGTTGTGCATCTTTCGTTTGTTTTTATTTTTTGTTGAAATACAGAATTTGTTTAAAAAACAAGAGAAAAATGCCTCACGGACCCGAAAATAGGACAGATAGAGGGGGACATGTGAGTTGTCCTCCTATGATTGCATAATGAGCTGGTCATGGCTAGCTCATTATGAAATTAAGATGGGACACCTCATCTGTCCCCCTTATCTGTCCCATTTTTCGGGTCCCTGTAGAAGCACCCAAAACAAAATAATTATTAAAGGTGCAATATGAAGATTATGTGATAAAAATAGAATCATCAATAAATATAGTTAAATATTATTTTTTTAATTAAAAGTGGTATTCATTTTTGTCACTTTAATGTGCTCCACCATTTTTCTAGAAGTTAAAATTATATTAAATATTATGTGGCAACTTCCTTGTATTTTACTTTCATAACTACTTGCATATAAGCAAACACCTAAAGGATCAAAACCATCACTTTATCACTTTTATATTTTACTTGTATGCAAACAAACACCCCCTAAATAATAAATAAATTATTGTGAGAATTAAACTTTGTATTTCCTTTTGGCATGAAGGTGATACAAATCCTAAATCCAGTAGGATGCATAATATAATTTTTTAAGTAAAGGATGTGTAGTAATTAAAAATAGTTAATACCTCAGAGAGTATAACTAAGTTGGTAAATTGCATGTGAGTAGTACTCAAAGGTCTCAAGTTTGACTCTTCTGGGGAGCACCCACACACACAGGAAATTAATTTTCATAAAACCATGGTTCAAATGATCGTGAGGAAGTTCCCTTGCCAAACGAAATAAATAAAATAAATAAATAAATAAATGGAGTCCTTTACCTTTGAAAAAGAATTGTAACTTAGATGGACACATGAAAATTTTCTCTAATGTTTTTTTGGCAACGAGAGAAACTTAGAAGACTCCTCTATCAGAGGGAGAAACCATCAAGGGAATTCAACCCATTAAGTAAAAACTCGAGAATTGAGGCACATCTCAAATCCTTCCCAATTCCAAGAAAGCTAGTAGAGAATTCGAACCTGTGACCGTTGAGTAGTGAACAAAGTGAACAAAACTATTTAACCATCTTGATAGACACCGATGGATTTCTCAGATGTTGATATTACTGAATTGGTAAAAGGTGGGTTTGATCTCAATCCTTGAGCACAGCACTCTCCTCTTTGTCATTAGACTATGGAATTTTAAAGAATATTTTCTTTCTCATGATAGATAATGTCTCCGTCACATGACCCGGCTCGTCTTATATTTGTTTAGTAGAGGATTTGAGCCTATGACTGTGAAGCAATCCAAATGTTCTCGGTAGATTTCTATGTACATATGTATTTTGTACGGACTATGCATATACTTGGACTCGATGTGGGATACACATATCGAGAGAATGCGTACCGCTTCCATATATGTGATATCTGAATTAGAGTATGAAAGTTGTTACCTCTTTTGTACTTCACCATTTGATTAATAAATATCTACTCCGTTGACACTTGACACCCTAGCTAGGCGAAAAATCAAACTAATTACATTTTATCAATCTTTTCTCTATGTTTTAGTTTTTCTGTATTTTAGATATTTGTCATGACAATCCTGTTGTGCGCGACAACTAAACGGGCGTGCTTTGAGAACCAAATCAAACAAACGTCGAGATAAAGGCCAAACAAATCAAAACAACGGCACAAATCCAAACACAATAGTTTTACGTGGTTCGGCAATTGCCTACGTCCACGGGGCAAGAAGGGGATGGGGTTTTCAATAATAGAGAAAGAGTACAAACTGAGATTACAAATCACTCGAAGGAACAAACTAATCTCACCAACAAGCTCTTAATCTCTCCAAACAAAACCTTAAACAAATAGCTCAGAAAATACCTCTTTTCTGTGCTCCAAATATCCCCAATTTTTCTTCTCCACCAAATTCTCTCTTCCAATTGTTCCATATATATAGAAATCCTAAAATCATAAACATACTAGGAATTCTAAACCAAAACCAAATCAAATTAGGAATCCTAATAACCTATTACCAAAATAGATTAGGAATCCTAATAACCTCATGTTACCAAAATAGACTAGGAATCCTAATAACCTCATGTTACCAAAATAGATTAAGAATTCTCTATCCAACAATTCTCCACCTCGGCGAAGTTTTCCCAAAACTGAGCCGACACCGACCAAACCAAATGCCTCACTTGTTGCGTCCAGTACGCCATGGCAACAGACTCATGACAACGGACTCCATCCACACAAGTCGAGACCCAAACGGGAGTGCGAACACTCACCCAAATGTCGATATCTATTCACCAAATCGGCTGCATCAAAACTGACTGCCTACGTATCCTCCTGCCCAAGGAATCAACAAGCCTTCACGTAGTTCACCCAAATGGCCTCCAAAGGCCTCAATCCACTAGAAGAGTTCACAACCCTTCTCCAATATCACGATTAAGTCTGCGGCTGATAGCACCTCCAATGGCTCCAAACTGAACTAATCCAAACATCTCCACCTGAGATGAACCAATGGCCATATCCAGACTACATCCATCAGCTGTACTCGAATCAATCAACCTATCATCTACATCCAAATCAACACGATTCCCAACCTGTGTCACATCAGCTGGAATCCCAAATAATGCAGTATGATCTGGAGTTTCCACCCAACGTGGAGTAGCATCACTCTCCACCCGTTGCGATGTCCCAAAGATCTGATCACCACTCTCCACCTGTTGAGAGTCAAACGTGACATGCCTGCTCAGAACAAAGTCAGAAGCCAATACCTGATAATCAAACACGCCTCTGAATCCCAAATGTGCTATCGGATCAAATCTCACATCCACGATGTGACCAAATGCTGGGTAGCCAAACATCCGACGCAACCCAAAATCTGAAGCAGCTCCACCAGATCCCATATCTATACATGCAGCAGTCGGCAACCTATACATGAGACGGCCCAAACATGTCGTAGCCTGCACACCAATGCCAATGCTCGACATCAAACGCCGATCCTCCTCTGTTTGTTAAACATCATCAAAACAAGAAGGCCAACATCCCCAACTGCGGAAACCACATACCAATTACCTCCCAATAATGCTCCCTTGGAAGGCTCCCGAATGCCTGAATGAACACCCCTCAGAAAACCCCTCGAATGATGGATAGAAGTGTCAAACTCCACCTCGGTCTTCTCGCTCATACCAATGGGTTCACAGGACTTCAAACTGCAGGTCAAAGCACTCCTCAAAATCTATGCACGACATTTCTAATCAAATAACCCAGTATCAAACAATGCCACAGTCTAGCCAAATCTGATAAAGTCGTCATCTCCCTATCAATCGTCGTGCTTCCGAGCAAATAATACAAATTGCTCCTTCTGACGCCCTTCATAACAATCATGGACCCCAATGTGACCTTCAAACGTGCATCCTCCAAGGTCACTTTATAGTCAGATGCCACCAAAGCTCCTAGTGAAATGATGTTATTCGACAACTGCGGAACGAACCTCACTCCTTCCAACTCCTGAATCACTCCGTCATACATCCGAATACGAACGGTACCAATACCATCAATAGAGCATGCATGTCCATTACCCATGAGCACAACATCATCTCTTTCCAACTTCTGAAAGCTAGAGAACCAATCCCTCGTAGGGCATACGTGGTATGAAGCACCCGAATCCAACATCCACTCTGTAGAGTTGGCAACACAAACTTACGGCAGTGCAGACAATGAATAACCCGAAGAATCCGAATCTGAATTGTTGCCACTAGTCTTGACAACATTCACCTCTGAAGCTTGTACAGCTTTCCCCTTATTCTTCTCGGTTCGATCTAACTTTGGGCATTCAACTTTCCAATGTCCATCCTCTTTACAAAAGGCACACTGATTCCTACGAATCCCACGATGTGCACCTCTAGACTGCGACCTCCTGCTTCAGTTTGAACCATGGCCATGAACTACTAATGCATCTCCCGATGCCTTCTCGGAGGACTCATCAACACTCTTCCTCAACTCATAATTCACCAACGCTGAGGTCACCTCCTTGTAACTAACAGTAGTTCTTCCATTAATCATAGTTAGGACAAACGTACCATAATCATCATCGGGCAACGAACACAAAAGTAGTATCGCCTTGTCTTCATCCTCAACCATGATATCCACATTAGACATGTCTGAAAGTAGCTTTGTGAAGTTGTTAACATGCTCCCTAATGGAAACTCCCCTCTTCATATTGAACTGATAAAACCTCTTCTTCAAGTGAAGCCGATTCTCAATGCTCTTAGTAAGATACTTTTCATCGAGTGTTTCCCACATCTTTTTCGCTGAAGTCTCGTTCATCACATCATAAATAAGATCTGGCGTCAAGCATGACCGAATAACTCCACACGCCCTACTATTCATCTTCTTCCAAACCTTAGCTTCCATCTCGGCAGGTTTCTCTTGTAACTCAAGAGTCTCCTCCAAATTCTGAACGTCCAACGCATCCATCACCTGGCACCTCCACAAACCGAAATTGATCTTACCATCAAACTTCGGAACATCGATCTTCATGTTATTGATGCTCAAACTATGTATCGTCTTCGTAAGAGACGATCCCGATGTGCTTGCTTCACCCATGTTGTCGATCTAACTCTTCAAATAGGAATCCTTCAGTGAATCCTTCAAACAAGCCTCAAGTTGAACCCGAAGCTCTGATACCAATTGTTGTGCGCGACGCGGAA